TGAATAACAAATAATGATAAAGTGGCGAAAAAACAGTTTAAGAGTAACTGATAAAAAACGATACCAAAAGTACAGTAATACTGAGATGGTGGAAACTGTTAAACAGATGACATATATTCTGCTAAATTAGGTTACTGATATTTGACTAGAAAAAACAAAAAATGAAAAAATTAAGCAATGATTTTTTTTGGTTGATACTTCGCTTACGTTGAGGTGTAATTTAATAAAATTTGATATTTGAAAAGTAAAAAGAACAGAAAAAGAGAGGTAATAAAGCAGAAATATTTCAGGCTGATACTTCTGATATGTGTTGAACGTTTGATCGGTGTAAAGTATCCATTTTTTGCCAAAAAATATTGGAATGGTGCAAGTCACTATCGACAAATTGTTTTTTTAGCTGTTTTAATCATAACATTTTTCCTCACATTTTATATACACTTTTCTCGGTTTCCAGTTTTTAAACTATTCTGTAACGATACACAACTTCACTTTATGCATATTGCAACAACAACTGAAAGGTATATTTTCATTGCAGTTTCTTCTTCGTCCAAGTTTTCTTTTTTAAAACATACAAAAATATGTTCATCAATTTTAGAGACCATATTTCTAAAAAGTAGCAGAAAAGAAGAAGTATTGACTGCCAAATTTAAAATTTTTTGATAAGAAAAAAAGCAAAGATTTTATGTCAAACTGCAGAGTTTTCCAAAAACTGACACTTCAGATTTATCATTAACTTAACCTCACTTAACAAAGTTTCTAACCGCCACAGTGATAAAGTATACAAAGCCTTATATCGTTTAGAACAAAGTTGAATTTTCAGGTTTTTTTTCTGCATAAAACCACTAAGAAGCTTGGTTTTTTTTTCAGAAAAATTTCAAGCAATTTCTGTAGTGTTGTGAAAAATGTTTAACTAGATAAAGCAAAAAATTGTAGAAATTTTTTAATTGTAAAAGGCTCGTAAAGTCGTTAACATATGATGGTTTTTTCAAAATAATACTTTCCCGGTTTCCCTTTTTAACGTCTCAGAGCATATCAGTTCTAAAGTTTTTATATAAATTTCAAAAGTTTCAATTGAAAACAAATATTTTACGCCCAATTTTGCTTTATCATACCAAAACCAAAAAAAAACTGCTTTTTTTAAACATTCGTTTCAACAGCTATAAATCAAAGAGCAAAAAGTAGTCTGAAATGTCTGGAATATCTTGGAAAATCAGAATAATATGCTTATATAAATAATCCAAAAATTATACTAGCTTTATAAATACTTGCTTTATAAATAATACCTGTATTCAGTTTTTAGTTTTTGATGGAATTGCAGATTTGGTAATCAGACAAACCCTTATCCAAAATGGGTACGAAATTTAATACGACCAAGTATGGTGATTCATGCAGTTTTTGGTGTTCTTTTACCGTCGTTGATTATTATCATTGCTAACATAATGCTTCTTCAGACGCTAAAGTTAAGGTATAGAAAAAAGAAACAGAGCTTATAAAATAAGTAATTTAGCATCTGCTTGAAACTCTATTGATGTTAATTTTCAAAAAAACTGTTCAAGAATAGAAAAATCAGCATTTTTACAGCAGAAGGCAGTCCAAATGCAATTTGCTCTCTGATTGGTTGCATCTCGCCAGTGGGTTGGGCAATCGACTTCTCTCAAATCTGCAAATCATTTCATTGCAATTGTATTGATAATATAGAGGAATTTACACACAATATTAAGCTAAAAAATCTGTTACTTTTAAGACGATGGTAAAGTTTTCCCTGTTTTTTTTTCTTTTTGACTAGAAACTTTAAAAAGAGATTTTTAGATAGTATAGATTATTTGCAAATAAAATTGGTTGCTGGAAAAGAAAAGTTCTGGAAACAAAAAAAAGCTGTTTAAAAAGGTAAAGTCACTGAACTTAGTTATTTTTACAGACAGTCACTTTGTCAATAAAAATTTTAGAAATTATACTGTTTTTTTTTGCTAACATTTTGTTAGACGATAGGGTAAATTTTGAACTTTCATCAAAATTTTTTTGTTACACTTTATTTCTAACTTTATTTCTAATTTCATATAGCTTTCTTTCTCCCGCTTTTAGTTCCCATAATTCTTTCTTTTGAATAAACTTTTTTCTTCTAGCAACTGTACATTGTGGAAGAGTTAAGTGCAGTTGTAATCGTTTTACACTAATTCAGAAGCCCGCCTCAGAGATCTCGGTTTAAAAAACCCAAAAAAAATTTTACTGTCATATCAAAGAAATTATTATTATTTTTTTTGTTTTTTGTTTCTGTAAAAACCGTAAGCATTCTTAATACAAATGCAACCGATCTGCAATTTGGAAGAGTCTACTGATCGCCCCAGTAACGTTACACAGGTAATTGAAAGGCTAATTGACGTCATTTTGCATCTGGATCTTTTTACTCTGTAAAAGTGCTGAAAGTTTTTGAGGATTATTAGAGAAGAAAAAAAAACTTTTTAAGAAAGATACAAAAATTTTATTTATCCTGCTATAGCTTTAAAAAAATTATAAGTTTACTATTGCAGAGTATTCAGTATGCGAAATTATTGCGATAGTTTTTAGGGGAAAGTTTCTTTCATCGTTTCGTATGGAACAAAATCGAAAAATTGATTTTGCGCTCTCTCAAGCTAAACTTGAGCAAAATATAACTTATACAGCATGTGCCATTGTAACTTGCTTTACCATAACTCAGGTTTGTAGCTTATTAAGTTTAGTTTAATTGGTTTAATATCTGAAAACAAAAAAATTTGTTCAGGCACCATCTGCACTAATACTTTCAACATTCAGTCACGTCACTATCGGTCATCCCGACTGGCAATTTCATCTGGTAAAACCAACTACTTTCCCCTTTTTAAGCATTAATTTTTGTTGATCTTTTATAAACTACACAATAACAACAATTTCTTTGTACCGCAACAGATGAAAAAAGGCGAAAAATAAACCGTAAATTTTACAGTAAATTACTTTAAAACAACAGTATATGCTCAGCTAACGGCTTAACTTTTAGATACTGTTGGCTGACTGTATGGTTGTAATCGGTAAATCGTTAAACTTTGTTCTGTTCTGCCTAACATCTCAAACATTTCGGCAGCGTTTGTACGTTATAATAAAGCTCAGAAGAACAATGAGTAAGTCAAAGTAAGTTAAACACTTGAAACTGGTCTATACTTAGCATAGATAAAATTGGTCTAGCAGTCAAAAAGTAAAAAAGCTGTTGGGTTAAAAAATTGAAACTACGTCACTGAAGTGCTTAGCGGTAAAAGGTTGAAAAAAAATAAATTGTAAGAAAATCTGTTCCAAGAACTATTCAGCTGATAAAGGA